AGGTTCTGACAGATTCTGGAGAACCGGTGGCAGAAATTTTGAGTAATTCGGAGAACCGGCAAATACCACCTCTGGCTGGCCCCAGAGTGGGGTGGGAATGGGGATTTTGCAATATTCTTCGCCCAGGAGTGGGGAGGGAATGGGAATTTTGCAATATCCTTCCCCTGCCATGCCCACCAAGCCACACCATGCCCACCAAACCATGCCCACAGAACCAGTAGTAAGAAAAATTGAATTCCACCACTGAGTGCAGCTAAAAACATTGGCCCTTCCCAGTTACAGAAGACCACTGACAGTGAGGATTTATCAATCAGATGGGTCAATTCAAGGGATTTGGAGAATGGAAGACAACATGTACTGAGAGTCACGTCTGTGGCAGGGGTGAAATCTAAAATTTGTTACTACCAGTTATGTAGGCATGGCTTGGTGGGGAGGGGGGGGGTAATGCGACTGGGTGGGCATGGCCAACTTTTTTTTTTTTTACTTTTAAAAGTGTTTTTTCTACAACCTTAAGAGGTTGCAGAAAAAAATGCTTTTAGAAGCCTCTGACGATCAGGCAACTCAGCTGGGATCATCAGAGGCATTTCTTTTTTTCTACAACCTCTTCGGCTTAAGAGGTTGTAGAAAAAAATGCTTTTAAAAGCCTCTGACGATCCCAGCTGAGCCATGCGATCATCAGAGGCTTTTTTTTTTTACTTTTAAAAGCATTTTTTCAGAAAAAGAGGTTGTAGAAAAAATGCTTTTAAAAGTAAAAAAAAAAAAAACCTCTGATGATCTCACGGCTAAGCTGGGCATGGTGGGGGGGGGCAGGGATTTTTGCTACCGGTTCTCCGAACCACCCACTGCCATCACTGGCGGATCGTGTGATCTGGTCCAAACTGGGAGCATTTCACCCTTGGTCCGTGGGGTCTTAGAGATGAAAACCAACATAGTTAATTGCATACATAACCTGTTGATAACCAATGCAGAGATTGCAGTCCAAATTTAATATGACTGGGCAGCTTTTATTCAGCTACGCTGCATGGGTGAACAGTTCTGCACTGCAGTTTGAACCAGCTGTGGCTTCTGAACAGTGCTCAAAGATGGCAGTAGTCTGCCAGATGTTAGTAAGAACATGATCTGCCCTTTAACTATGCATTTTATTAAAATGTTCTCCCTCCTGAGAAGGGTTTTGTTTTCTTTGTGGTTTGGGTGTGTGGGTGTGTTTAAATACTGAATTAAACAAGCTTCAGACTGGTTCAGTTTGCTGGGGTTTGGGGGTTTTTTTTAAACATTTTTTGTGTATTTTGAGCTTTCTCTGATCCTAATCCCTGGTGTCCTTTTTTTTTTTAACAGTATTTAATATGGTTAGAAAGCCCAGATGCTTTTAGAAGAAGCTAAAGGCAAGAGGTGGGCTGACATAGCACTATTGTTCAGATGAAAAGAGCTTATTTGCTTTTTTTCCAAACCCAAATGAAGTCTCTGGTTTGTATGCTCAAAGGAAACTTGTCGTTTCATCTCAAGAAGCCCAGATACAGCCCGGCTTGATTCAAAATAGACCCTATTCTATTCTGAACGTTACACAGAGACTCCACAGATGTCACTACACAGAGACATTTTGAAAAATAAAGGGATTGCAAGCGATTACTGCATTAAGCCCTAATTAGTAAATTAAAGATAATGGCTTAGATGTGTGGTTAATGTTTTGTGTTCAGTTTTTTTTTTTTTTTCATGCCTGAACAACTGATAGTAAACACTTTCATATATCTGCATCTCTCCCTTCCGATGTTTCTACAGGCTACCTATATAATTCCATTACCAAACCCAGTAATATAGTTAAGCTACATTTTAGATGCTAGGGGAAATATTTGATGATTTTTCACATTAACATTGTTAATGTGAATTGTTTAACATTAACGATCTGGTGGAAGAAAATTTGTTTGTACATTTCATTTATCTTCTTTAATTTTCCCTTTTCATCTTTTTTTTTTATTATTATTCTAAGGAGAATAATTGTAGGAGAAGAGCAGGCGGAGCTAAATGTGTTATCAGATTAGAGTCCTTACATTGCCACAAACATTCAAGTCCAACCTCTCCTGAATTCTCTTGACTTTTATCTAGTGTTAGTGTTAAATTTTAGTTGAGTAGATTAGCAATAGCAATAGAATTTAGGCTTATATACCACTTCACAGTGCTTCACAGCCCTCTCTAAGCGGTTTACAGAGTTAGCATATTGCCCACCAACAATTTGGCTCCTTATTTTACTGACCTTGGAAGGATGGAAGGCTGAGTCAACCTTGAGCCTGGTGAGATGTGAACTGCCAAATTGCAGTCAGCAGGCAGTCAGCAGAAGTAGCCTGCAGTACTGCATTCTAACCACTGCGCCACCATAGCTCATTCTCTTATATAAGCTTGATATAAATCTTCTATGCTGCTACTTAATGGATGGTCCTGATTCTTTGCATCTGACATGTATAAGGTTTCCCTTCAAATGTACTTTCTGATGTTTTGTTAAGAATCTAATACCATGATAGGAACTATTATGGAAGGATCTGTATCTGGTCAGCAAAATAAATCTGAAGTTATTTTCTACAACAAATCTGCTCCTATGATCTGCCCAACAGTTCACACATTATTAAATATAGCTTGTTGTCCAGGTACTGCCTGCTTTTTGAAGCTTCTGAGATTAGAAAGTGAGAAATATCCATTTTATGTGCTAATTACACAGTTCAGATGAACAGCAACTGAGTAAATTGGAGCTCAGTTAAATTAAACAAAAATTCTTATTGGAATATCTTATTAGAATAGTGATGATTTAAATAATGCTTGACTTATTTTTTTCCTTTATATTTCTATTTATTTCTGGTACTTTCAATTAATAAGAACTTCTGTTAAAAGGAGAAGTTCCTTTCAAGTGGACATATCAAATGAAGATAAACCATATTTATAGGCAATAATGTTTCTTTGTAGCCCCTTCGTCAATCTCCCAATATTTGGTACCCTCGACTAAAGAATCTGGTAGGGATTGCCTAGTTGTTTAAAGAACTAGGAATTGAACAAAATTGGAAAGCATAAAAAATTCCTACAAAGGGAGAGCTAATTAAGAAAATATTAGAATGTGCAGAAATGAGTAGATTAACATTAGCAATTAGAGGGAAGGAAGAATCAGAGTATTACAACATATGGGGGCAATTTTATCAATGGATAGAGATTGAATATAGACAATAGACAATATAAAAATAAGAAACATGGGAAAATATGTTGTAATACATTAAATGTAAATGTAAGAAGAAAGATAAATATGTACTAAGAAAATGATGCTAAATGTTGAATATGATGACACAAAAAAGTTTGTACCCAGATGTTACACTGATTGGTTAATGATGAATTGTTTGTTTAAAAATAAAAATAAAAAACTTATTAAAAAAAAGAACTAGGAATTGGATTACATTTTTTTTTGTACTATGGAAACTAGCTATATGAATGTACAGTATAAGGCTTAGTTGGAAATAGAGACGTAATAGAGTAGCTAAGATTATAAAGATTTTACTCAAATCCAGCAGGCTACCACTATCTTACCCAAATCCAACAAGCTATTACTTCCAACCAGGTATATCTGACACCATGCCTCTAAAAAGAATGGGGAATTTAATACTATACCACTAGCTATTTCCTTAGTAGATTCCCTATCTCTCTAAAGATAGCTTCCCAGCATTTTTGACCCTTGGTTGGAAATTACATCAGTAGGGAAGGCGAAATGCCTGAAGAATTATATTTAGGTAAAATCCTAGATATGCAGCAGGGTTTTACTGTTGAGGTAACTCATGTTATGGCAGTATCAGAGGTAGACTTGAAAAGAAACATGATAAGTTAATTCTACTTCATTGAAAAGAAGAGGGAGTCAAGCTATTCTCCAAAGCACCTGAGGGTAGGACAAGAAGCAATGGGTGGAAACTAATCAAGGAGAGAAGCAACTTAGAACTAGAGAGAAATTTCCTGACAGAACAATTAATCAGTGGAACAACTTCCCTCCAGAAATTGCGAATGCTCCAACACTGCAAGTTTTTAAGAAGATGTTGGATAACCATTTGTCTGAAGTGGTGTAGGGTTTCCTGCCTAAGCAGGGGGTTGGACTAGAAGACCTCCAAGGTCCCTTCCAACTCTGTTATTCTATTGTACAGTTATATTAATAGAATCTTGAAAATCTGAAAATACAATTCTCATCCCACCTCCTTTACAGTTCAAGAAACCAGGAAGAATTTTCTTCTGAGTCTCTTGTCCTGGCCAGTATGTAGCTGTGGACTAAGTTGTCTCTTATCTTGCTGTTCCCAGTGTCTCTTTCCCCCGTCTCCAGATCATTCTCACATACGATTACAGATGGATATTTGTTTATTTTTTGCTTCCCAGCCCAAGATCAGGATACATTTATTTTGCAGACTGTGAGAAAGTCTCCTGTTCTTTTAATTGTGTCAGAAAGGATGGGCCTTCACTGTGGACTCCAGAAAAGATCAATCCTTTATTGAACAAAGATGTGGTCTTTACTGCCCTCCAAAGGTAGCAAAAAACTCTGTTTAAAAATATCAGTTCCAGATCTCACATTGGGTCACTGAAAACCCCTCCAAGTGTCTGTCCAAAAATTACAGCTTTTTTTTTTAATGGAGGGACTGTTAATGAGTAAAATGAGCAGTCATGCCTGCTCTACACTTTTGAAAATGTTCCAACTAATACCAAAATTTATGTTTTTTGAGCAAGTTATTAAAAACATGATATCCTGAGAATTCTAGATATTCTTAGATTATTGTTTCCAACCTAGGGAGACCATCCAATCTTGGCCATTCAAGTGAATAATTTATGAGGTGTCTTTATATTTCATTTATATTATCGTCTTGGGAGAGAAACTAGCATCTTGTTTCGATGGTCTATTAAGCTTTTGTTGCGTGCTACGTTTCTGAAATGCTGAGCTTAGAATAAGCACAGAGAACTAATTTTGTCCTGTTTGGTTCTTCTTCTTCTTACTCTAGGAAACCGTTTGGAGTCTATACAGAGTTAAAGTGATGGGCTTAAGGAACATTGACATCTCGGTTACGGAAAACCTGTGAACTTTCCAGAGGATTATAGTATTCCTGTTCACTTTTGCAGTGACCCTTTGAGAAGAAAGGGGAAAAATTGGGGAGTACTCTGGTGCCTATACATTAACCAAAAATGAAGGAAGATCATTGTTTACATGCTGCCCTCCTCTGTCTGGGAATGCTGTGTTGCACCTTTGTTATGGCGACAGACAAACTAAACCACTCAAGGCCATCACTGCATGGCCATCACGAGAAAGGGAAGGAAGGGCAAGTTCTCCAGAGGTCAAAAAGAGGATGGGTATGGAACCAGTTCTTTGTAATAGAAGAATATACTGGACCGGATCCTGTACTAGTAGGTCGAGTAAGTTTTTTTTGTACTTTTTAGAGCAACGCATGCATTGCTTTTTCTTTTTTCTTCTTCTTTTCTTAGAAACATGTTTTGGTATGATTTGGCCATGAATAAATCCAGTGTAGTCTTCAAAGAGGAATGATAAGACCTGTGCAGGATCCAATCTGGGTCATTACTGGGATCAGAGGTTTTTGTCTTTGGAGCTTTTGGACTCATGCTGGAGCCCATCTTCAGGAGACTTCTCTCTAGCTAGAGAGAAGTTCCCTGAAAATGGACTCCAGCATGATAGTGGTGGGTTGCTATTGGTTCGCCCCAGTTCGGGTGAACCGGTGGCGGCAGGAGGCTCCGCCCAACTGCCCAGATGCTTCTGCACATACACAGAAATGCCCCACGTGCAAGTGCATGCACGCCCACGAGCAAACCAGTAGCAACGGGATTTGGAACCTATCCCTTCAGCATGAGTCTAAAAACTTGGAAGACAAAACCTCTGGTTCCAGTGAGTGACCTAGACTGGATCCTGCAGCATTATCCTGGGACCCATATATTTGTCTTCATTTAGTAAGACCTCTCCTATCCAGCTGAGATTAGAAGGGATTCATTTAGCTGTAAATCCAGCCAAACAACAACCCATCCTTTGGTATTTAAGGTTAATCGTTAGCTCTTTAAGATGGTTAGAATGGTGCTACAATACCCAAATTAAAAGCTGTAGCTGGCCATACAGCTATATACAGAGATTCATTTATGCTTTCCAGAGTTAGTTTTTTTGCAGGAAAGGAGGAAATGAAATTCTTAGGCAGAGATGTGGATCATGCAGATACATTTAAAATGTGTTTCATTAGCATATAGCTCGTTCAGTTTCTTTAAAATGTTATTTGTCTAAGGAATTTAGTCAATGGACTCATATCTGGTTTGATTGCATGGCCATACTGATTATTTTCCCAGATATACTGTATATTCTCTTCCTTCTTGTCTTTTTTTTGTCCTTTTTAAAATGAAGATGTCCTAAGCTCAAGCAAACTCAGCTCCATGCAAGGCATTCATTGTACCATCAAAACATTTTGTACCACATTCTAAGTTGAAATGAATATGGTATTGACTTTAATTGTAGCTTCTGAGCTCTGTTGCCTTGTTTTATGGTCTGTACTGCTCTTTTTGTCTCTCATTATATGTTGTTTTTATGTTCTGCATTCTAAAATAGCTTATACATTTAATTGAAGGAGAGGAGGGACAAATTTAATATGTAGGGCACTCACCTAAGATCAGATAATATATTTCAAAACTCATTTTCATTATCAAAGGTGATTCTAATATGATTTTAACTAATCCCCAAGCTAATACTATTGAATTTGATAATGATGGTTGTATGGAATCCGAAATACCTTTTCAAATTCCCCAATTTTGGAATGTAATCATAAAGATTAGGCCTTTCAAAATGTAAATTATTCTTCAAATTTTACACTCCTCTGAATTTTGAAATACATTTTTCCAATCAAAACACACATTCAATTAAACATTCCCCTTAAGGAACACTGGATATAACATTGATGCTAGAATGACAATTTGCAAAAGAAACCCAAACAATAAATTTGAGAGATGATATACCAGTGTTTATTGATGACCACTGCCTTGTAAATGCTTCAAAAATATCAGTGTTAATGATCTATGTGGGTGCCTGTGTGTGTATTTCCCAGCTCCACTTTTTTAGATCAACTGAGAATTGATTCATTTATTGCAATAGGACTTGACCAACCAATGTGTCATTTAAATTTGACATAGTAGATTGAGATTAACTGGCCTAAAGTCATCCAGCCAACTTTCATGTTTAATCTAGGACTAGAACTCACAGTCTCCTGGTGGATTGGACCAAACTCACCCAGCCAGCTTTCAAGCCTAAAATGGGACTGGAACTCACAGTCTCCTGCTTTTATTTGGGGTTTAATAAACCCCAAAATACTGCATGGATGCCATTACTAGGACTCAAGAGCAGGGGTGAAATGCTCCTGGTTCGGACCGGATCCCCAATCTAGTAGCGATGGAGGTGGGTGGTTCGGAGAACCGGTAGCAAAAATCCCTGCCCCCGCATGCCCGGCTGAGCCGCGCAAAGCATCAGAGGCTTTTTTTTTAAAAAAATTAAAAGCATTTTTTCTACAACCTCTTTGGCCGAAAAAGTGCTTTTAAAAGTAAAAAAAAAGCCTCTTAATGATCGCGTGGCTCAGCTGGGATCGTCAGAGGCTTTTAAAACCATTTTTTCTACAACCTCTGAAGAGGTTGTAGAAAAGATGGTTTTAAAAGCCTCTGACGATCCCAGCTGAATTGCCTGATCGGCAGAGGCTTTTTTTCTTTTAAAAGCCTCTGATGATCCAAGCTGAGTTGCCTGATTGGCAGAGGCTTTTTTTCTTTTAAAAGCCTCTGACGATCCCAGCTGAATTGCCTGATCGGCAGAGGCTTTTTTTCTTTTAAAAGCCTCTGATGATCCAAGCTGAGTTGCCTGATTGGCAGAGGCTTTTAAAAGGAAAAAAAGCCTCTGCCAATCAGGCAACTCAGCTGGGATTGTCAGAGCCTTTTGAAAGCATTTTTTTACAACCTCTTCGCCGAAGAGGTTGTAGAAAAAATGGTTTTAAAAGTAAAAAAAAAAAAATGGCCACGCCCATCCAGTCACATTACCACACCACCACCAAGCCACACCCACAGAACCGGTAGTAACAAATTTTAGATTTCACCACTGCTCAAGAGTATCTTTACAATATTAGCATAGTGTCTGAACAAGCAAGCTAAATACAACAAGGTAAATTCAATACATTGGCTTAATCTGATAAACTTGGTCCAGAAGTTAGTAAAGCTCAGTAAATGCAGAACAGCATTTAAGCAAAACAGGACATTAAAAATGCATAGGCTTAAAGTAGAACAAAAAGCTATATGCAATGGATTTTTTTTTAAAAAAATTGCCAATGTCCAAAAAAATTCCTTTCATTGTTCTAATTGTGATTACATGAATGCCAGAGCTGCTAAATTAGGTATGAATTCTTGATGACACCTGCTATAATATATGTTTAAATCTCTGACACATTCATTATTTGCATGAGCTCCACTGTTGTTATGCTATCAAGTAGTAGGACAACTCATATTTGAATGATCTAAAATCCCTTTTTCTAGAGAACATTGGAACGTCTACTAAAATAGCCTGACATGGTGTGATAAATCAAACCAGCTGAGCATTTTTCAAGCTTTAAATAGGATGAAGTGTAAGGAAAGTAAAGATGGCCTTAATCTTACGTACTGTCAATGGCGCTGAATGCCTTTACTGTTGTTGGAAATTTAAGTGGCAGGATTCTGATTTCATTTCATGCATTAATTGCTTTAATACTATTCATTAAACTATCACAATGGGCATTAAGTAGCTATGAAATGAGAGATTAGTTGAACTCAATGGGTGGTTCCCTTTGTTGTAACTCCATAATGGGCAAATCTATCTATTTTTTTAAAAGTACACTTAATCAAAAATCTGTTAAATAGAAAATCTTTCCTAAGATATTATGTTCCTCCTTTTGCTCTTACAAAATAATAACCAGCTTTTCCTTTCATATTTTTTTTAAAAATCCAAATGCATTTTAAATCCACCCCCACAATATACAATACTTTGGAGCCATTCATGTACTTTCTAGATTACATGAAACTATTTTCTAGTTATATCCATTTTAATGTCTTTAGAGATTCAGTGTATAAGTTTGTGCAATAACAAACAACAAAATAACAAAATAAAATGAAGGGGCATTTAAAACCTCTCCATTACTCTCTAATATATGTTTACTCAAAAAAAGATTTACAGTTTAATTAACCTCTTCATTATAACAACACTAACATTTTCAAGGCAATGTGATAACTAAGAAGTATTTAATAATAATTTCCTAAAATCTATCTTCTTCCTTCTAATATATTAGGAAAGTATATTTGTGAGATGGGCAAACGTAGGAGGGATGGGCAACGTAGAAATAAATAAATTTGGTTGGAAATATAGCAAGCCAGGGGAGCAACGGGCCACTAGAATAAGAATTATGTAATCAACAGACATCTTTATCTTTATCAGACATCTTAATGTAGGTTTCCATCCTTGGGAATTTAACTTTTCTTTCTCCTTCTTACAGAAAAAAAGAAAAGACAATAATTCATGTATCATAAAAGTTGAAGAAGAATATTTTGGGAAAATATCAGAAATAGAGGCAGTCCTCAACTTACGACCAAAATTGAGCCCAATTTTTTTTTTGTTGCTAAGTGAAACATTTGTGAAGTCAATTTTGTCCCATTTTACGACCTTTCTTGCCACAGTTGTTAAGTGAATCATGGCAGTTGTTAAGTTAGTAACATGGTTGTTAAGTGAATCTGGCTTCTCCATTGACTTTGTTTGTAAGACGGTTGCAAAAAAGGATCACATGAACCCGGAATATTGCAACTGTCATAAATATGAGTTTGTTTGTTTGTTTGTTTGTTTGTTTGTTTATTTATTTATTTATTTATTTATTTATTTATTTATTTATTTATTTATTTATTTATTTATTTAATTTGATTTTTATACTGCCCTTCTCCAACAGGACTCAGGGCGGTGAACATCCGAGATAAAACATAATATATAAAATTTAAAAAACAGTTTAAAAGACATTAAATAAATTCGGCCCTCAATTTAAAACAACCCAGTTAAAACCAATTTCAAATTAAAACCGAAAGGATGGGATCAAGCCAGCCCGGCTAGATGAAATAAATGAGTTTTCAGGGCCTGATGAAAAGTCTGGAGGTCTGGTATCGTGCGTATCTCTGGAGCTAGGTTGTTCCAGAGGGCAGGTGCCGCCACAGAGAAGGCTCTCCCCCTGGGGGTCGTCAGCCGACATTGTCTGGCCGACGGCACCCTGAGGAGGCCCTCTCTGTGTGAGCAAACTGGCCAGTGGGAGGCTATTGGCGGCAGAAGGCGGTCTCATAGATACCCCGGCCCTAAGCCATGGAGCGCTTTAAAGGTGGTCACCAACACCTTGAAGCGCACTCGGAAGACCACCAGAAGCCAGTGCAGCTCGCGCAGGAGAGGTGTCACATGGGAGCGCCCCGTCGCTCCCATAATCCCCCGCGCAGCCGCATTCTGGACCAACTGAAGCCTCCGGGTGCACCCCAAGGGGAGCCCCATGTAGAGAGTTAGTTGCCAAGCGTCCAAATTTTGACCATGTGACCACTGGGAAGCTTTAAGTGTGAGAAACAGTTTTGGGTCACTTTTTCCAATGGTGATGTAACTTTGAATGGTCACTTAAATGAACTGTTGTAAGTTGAGGACTACCTGCATTTGGCACAACAGTAGCCTTTGTTGCCTTCGGAGACTGTATGTGAATATGCATTTTTTTTTTCATTTTGCAGCTTCATTCAGATATCGATTCTGGTGATGGGAACATCAAATACATTCTCTCAGGTGAAGGAGCGGGCATTATTTTTGTTATCGATGACAAATCAGGGAACATCCACGCAACAAAGACACTGGATCGAGAAGAAAGAGCTCAATATACATTAACTGCCCAAGCTGTGGACCGGCACACCAATCGGCCCTTGGAACCACCCTCAGAATTCATCGTCAAAGTCCAAGATATCAATGACAACCCTCCTGAATTCCTTCACGAAAATTATCATGCCAATGTACCAGAGAGATCCAATGTGGGTAGGTAACACAAACGTACACTATTATCAGTAGCGGAGTTCAAATTTTTTTACGATCGGTTCGGTGGGCGTGGCTTGGTGGGCGTGGTGTGGCATGGTGAGCGTAGCAGGGGAGGGTCCTACAAAATCTCCATTACAACCCCACTCCAGGGGAAGGATACTGCAAAATTTCCATTCCCACCCCACCCTAGGGGAAGGATACTGCAAAATCTCCATTCCCATCCCATTTCAGGGGAAGGATATCGCAAAATCTCCATTCCCACCCCACTCTGGGGCCAGCCAGAGGTGGTATTTGCCGGTTCTCCGAACTACTCAAAATTTCCGCTACCGGTTCTCCAGAACCTGTCAGAACCTGCTGAATTTCACCCCTGACTATTATTCTCTTGCTGGGAAGAGTGAACAGCCAGAGGGAAATGCAACCTGTGTATAGAACCTTGCCGTGGATCTCAAATCAATAGTGATAGGACTAGGCTCCATACCCCTTTCAGACAATGCTAAGAATTCTCCAGCTGATAAAAGATTTCCCATCTAAATTATCTGAGAGGAAACCTGAACGGCTTTCTCCCTGATAACACTAGCTTCTTACATGCACAGATAGCAATGTTTTTCCTTTTGATCGTAAGCAATCTGAAATGCTATCTAGGTATAGATTTATATGTTCATCTAAAGCCTTTTATTTGTTGGCAAAAAAATAATAATAATCCCAGAATGTTTTAAAATATGAACAATGAGAGTACCTGGCTTCTATTTTTATCATCTAAAAGCTATGTTGCAAAAGGAAAACCCAAGGAGATGAGGCGGAGAAAGAAAGGAAAAAAAAAAACAAGCTAAGTTGCAGCTTTTATTGTGACCACCAGGGATGAAAACAATTCAGGTAGCATGAGTGAAAAAGCTGTTGGCTAAATGACAGTTGGAGAACACTTAAAGCAGCTGATTTTCAACAATCTGGACGAAACAGCTCTTCTGTTTATGAGAAGCAAGAAACGGCTAACTGGGGACTTAAGTTTTGGAAAGTACACCGAGCGTCTAGAACTCATTCCTGGCCTTTATTAATTCATTCCTGGCCTTTACTAACAGCTCTCCTTTTTATTGGCATATGACCTTGAGGGAGGAAAGAAAAAGACTTAGAAATGGAGAAATCAGCAATTTTCCAAAATGCTAACCAACTGCTTCTCCTATTACAACTCTGGAGCAGACAAAAGATCCTTTGGATTCGGTCCGTGGCCTTCTCACTGTCCTTGTAGCAATTAATGGACTAATTTGCACAAGCTTTCATGGTAGCCACAGGGATTCAAAAATATATATTCTCTTGAGTTTGGATGGTGTTCAGGTAACGACAGCAAAGAGTTGTCAAGAGTTTTTAATCTCTTTAATGCCTCCTTAATTTAAATGTAGATTTGATTCCTTCCCAGGAAAAGACTCCTTTAGAAGCTGCGCAGATGTACCAAAAAATAAAAATAAAAAAAATAAAAAATCAGACCAGACCAGATCAGATCAAAATGGGCTGGATCCTGCCAAGGATTAAAAAAAAAAAGATGCATGTTTTTTTTCCAATGGCATCTTTATTAGATGTGTGCAGCATTTGGTTCCAAAGCTAGCAAATGTGTTTTTGGATCCAAGCAATGCACACAGCCAATCAGGATGCCTTTGTGGGAATTTTTAATGGACTGTTTCTTAGCCCCTGACCTTCTCTGGCCCATCTTCAAACTCAGTCACTCTTAGGTTGGCTTGTTCCCAAAACCAAATTTGAGTTTCTTCCACTTGGTTTGGGGAGAGTGATTCTGCTGACAATGTACCGGCCTCATTTTCATTATTATTTTTTTCCAGCATTCCATTAGTTGGAAAGAATTAGAACAACAGCTGTCCTTAATCCAATCCCACTTGTGATTTTTCTTAAACAAATAACAGTCCTTATGGGGGAGGAATCATCTCTTTTGTTATCCATAAAGAAAACAAGCAAGCAAAATGTTGCATGCGCATCTCTATGCCTTATGCACCAAATACCAGATCATAATTAGCTGGCCATAATTAGCTGGCCAATCTCAGCTGATTATACTGTGGTCCATATTGTGCCAATAGTCACTTTACATTTACCATATGTATATCATGGCAGTGTTTTGGTATCTATTACAATACTGGCTGACTAAGGCTTTTACACAATACAAAATATAAAGCACAATTTTAAATGTCCTTTCCAGTCAAATAAACTCCCTTTCCAATAAAGTAATCAGCCATGAAGCATGCAGAGAAATGCTGAACAAATCACTGCATATGCAACAAAGCTCACAGAGCTGGATAGCTTGTGGGGTAGTTAGTTATAGGAACCTTGTCTTTAGCATGTTGGGTGAATTAAGCAATCATTTATTTCTTTCGATATAGCATATTATAGCAGAGGGAAGAGACGTGGCTGCTTTAAGATGCTGCAGGCAGGTGTCATGTTCACACTCCCATGCCCTCCAAATCACTTTTAGAGATTGGACGCAAAGAGCTGTACAACCCTAAAATTAATATTCCAAATCATAATATTAACAAATTGCAAGGAAGGGAGGGGAGGAGAAATGCATTTAGCAAATAGAATTAACTCAACTGTATACTCCAAAAAAAAATAATAATAATAATTGAATAGAGATCTGCGGTAATCTGTACAGCTGTTGGAATCACCATTGGTGATTTGCTAGTAAAACCTCTTTTAAAGAAATGAAATGTGGATTTTCCAGGGTGCAATTAGTAAAGATAATCTCTCATATGTTTCTCGTTGTTCCCATTGAAAGGTGAAGTTGGCATTGTACTTAACCTGAAATTTTGGAAGTGGGGAAAAACATAGGTATATCTAAATATACGTATCTGTTCCCTTTTCTGTTTGCAGGTACATCTGTGATTCAGGTGACAGCCTCAGATGCTGATGATCCTACCTATGGAAATAGTGCGAAACTTGTTTACAGCATTCTTGAAGGCCAACCGTATTTCTCTGTAGAGCCACAAACAGGTACTAATCAACTGTGTGCTAACTGAAAGGGAATTTTAGAATAGAAGTGAGAAACCAGCAACTTTCCAAATTTATTCGGTTTATATTGCCACCCATTTTTACATACATGTCTCTGTATCCAATTGTTATTGGAGTACAAGGTTCAATCCATGATCGTTGGCTTTAGTGGGTATGGCTAATTACCTGAAAGAGATTAACAATAGTACTAGTACTTAGACTTATATACCACTTCATAGTGCTTTACATCCCTCTCTAAGTGGTTTACAGAGTCAGCATATTGCCCCCAATAATATGGCTCCTCATCTTACCGACCTTGGAAGGCTGAGTCAACATTCATCCAGTCAGGATCGAACTCAGCAGAATTACCCTGCCATACTGCATTCTAACTACTGGGCCACTACCAAGCTTCCTTTATGTGTCCCAAATATGATAATCAGAAGATAAACCACCAATTTTAATAACAATAGCAACAACAGGGAACAACAAACCTTACAGTGTGTTTCCGTTTGACTTGTAATTTGCATTCAGGCCTTGGATTTATTTTAGAGACAACAATGCCTTTGATTTTCTTGCTTGATTTAAAGTAAATGTGCCTTCTGCATATGAGAAGAATTTGACACTTTTTTCAAGCTATAAATGATCTCTAATGGAAATCATACCCACATCCCAGTATATGTGATTGCATGGGGTTATAAAAGAAATGTTCAGTGTCTAAACCAGCTGCTGAAAAACACTGACAGTATTATGACTTCCAAACTTAGATAAAGGTTAAATTTTGTAATCAACAGCTGGCCCCATATAATGCATATCAAAGAAGGGGTTTCCCAAACTAAACACAGTTTGTTAGTCTTCTGTATAGGTTTATTAAGAAAGTTCACAGTCTTCTGTGTTAATGCTTACACTCACTAATATTCTTTCCTGTTTCTGTTGTCTCCATTAAAAATCTTCATGAAAAATAGTAGTATAAAAGATAATTTTAATGTTTTTCCTAATGCATTTCCAAGAGCATTTAGGAAAGTAGGGACAAGCCTTAAAAATGCATTCAGGAGGTGGAAGAGTTGATAGTCAGGGAGTATAATTTTATATTCACACTTTTTTCAGCCCCCCAAACTTCTCAAGCAGTGGGAAGGTGGTGCACAATTTTTAATACAGCTATTAATTTGAAATAGTTAGAAGGGAAAATAGTAGAAGGGAAAAAAAGAGAGAGAGATTGTATATGAGCAGAGTATATGATGGGGAGGTCAATAAGAAACATTAGCTAAGTGGTTTAGATATAAAATCATTCATTTCAAAATGGTCTAATCCTTTTCTAATTGTGATTGCAATGGTGCAGAATGAAGTGGCCTTTGGGGTGATTAAGCGAGACTGATCTCTTAGTAGTCGGAACAGAATCACAGTCCAAATATCTGTTGATGAAATGTTCGTGAAGTAATATAATATAATGGCAGCTCAGGAAGATTTGAGTGATAGTCTTAACCTTTGCATCCAAAACAGATGCAAACGTATAATTGAAAAGGGATGTTGTTAAATCTCCCCTTAATACATTATTCTACTACTGTTGTTGGGTACAGAGATTGTTATACAAGTATTTGGAAATGGCATAATCCATCTATCCCTATTGCATATGAGCTGGTACAGAGCTCTGGAGGAGGAGGAAATTGGATAAAAATGTTTCTCAGTTTCTCAAATGCTCATTTAAGCATATTTAAGCTCCTAGTGATAAAGCCATCAAAAGAGCATCTTCCTTCCTTCCTTCCTTCCTTCCTTCCTTCCTTCCTTCCTTCCTTTTCCTTCCCTTCCCTTCCCTTCCTCCTTTCTTTCTTTCTTTCTTTCTTTCTTTCTTTCTTTCTTTCTTTCTTTCTTTCTTTCTTTCTTTCTTTTCCTTCCTTCCTTCCTTCCTTCCTTCCTTCCTTCCTTCCTTCATTCATTCATTCATTCATTCCTTTCTCTTTCCAAGATGGAGAAAAAGAAAGCCAAGATTTCCCTCTAGTGAGAAAATGGCATCATAATGTCTCAAATTCCCCCCCAAATCCCACCAAAGAACAAACACTAGTCTTGATATCTATGATGGAAATTTTGAGATCTAAGCCTACCTTAGATTTGTGGACTGCATACTGATTAGTGAACCCATTCTGATCATGAATTCAAAAACTGGTAAATACCAAAATACAATAGATGTTTTTAACAATGTGTCCTCACTTTCATTTTCCTAAAACAAACTGCAGCAACATAATCCTCAACGGCATTACAACAGGTTAGGAATAACATTTTGCTACTGGGAGGCCAGCTGTTTTTGGTAGCAATCCAAGATGAGATAACATAAATCAACCCTTTGTGTGCAAATCCTAATGCCCTTTCTCATATTGGAAATGGCAAAGATCAAATTCCTCAGACTTCTCCATTAAAACCTCAACAATCATTATATTATAAGCCGGACTAGGCAAGATCACGGAAAGAGCTTATCAAGCTCTTGCAGAATCCAATTTTACAGATGGATGCTTCTATTGTGTTTAACTTCATTTTTTTTTTCAGTCTTGTGCTTTTTAGACGACGTATTTGAAAATTTTTATATGCATATGCATTCTTTTCCCCTGGGGTATTCTACTTTTTGTGGGTGGTGTACATTTTCTAAGCAACATAATGCAATTCAGATGGATGCATTTTCCTGAATATACATGTCCATGTATAAAATGCAGATAATGTATACATTTTTGTACTCTTCTATTAGAAAGTTCAGAATTGACTATAAAGTTGCATTATAATTATCCTATAAGGGCAGGACATGTGAATACATTAAATTCATATTAAATTATGAACGGAACATATTCTTCTCCCACCACTTCTTTAACCAACATCAGATATTCTATGGAGTATGGGTGGAGGAAACTGTAGTTGATATATACTACAATCACTGAAGGCAATTTCTCTGTTGTATAATGGTTTAAACAAATATCTGCCAGCCCTTATGCAAATGAATAGCTGTAGAAGAGACTTGCTGTCAGATAAACATTTGAAGAACATATTGTGAACCATTTCTTCTCATCTTTTTCCTGAAGGTATTATAAGAACAGCTCTTCCCAACATGGACAGAGAAGCAAAGGAAGAATATCATGTTGTGATACAAGCAAAGGACATGGGAGGACACATGGGAGGACTTTCAGGAACCACCAAAGTGACAATTACCCTCACAGATGTCAATGATAACCCACCAAAGTTCCCACAGAGTAAGTTCTGAAGAACTCTACCCAGTGGATTCTGTTTCTCATAATGGTCCACCAGAAGCCTCATTGGAGCTGAATAATTCTCCTCCTCCTCTTTTACTTGTCAGCAAACAACTATTCAGTAATATATTGAATCTACGCAGTCAAGTATCATATTCTTATTATGATTACTGTATTTTTCGAAATATAAGACGCACCTTTTTCCCAAAAAAAAAGAGGGTGAAAATCTGGGTGTGTCTTATACTTCAAATATAGCCCCACCCAGCTTCTCAAACGGAGGTTTCAGAGGCTGAAAAAAGCATCGAAGCTTCAGAAAAGAAGCCCCCAAACAGAGCTTCAGAGGCTTTTTTTCTGAAGCTTTTTCAGAGGCTTTCAGAGGCAGAAAACAGAGTTTTTTTGTGAAACGGGGTTTCAAAAGCAGGAAAAAAAAAAAAAAAAAAAAAAAAAAAGCAAGATGCAGAGCTCACAACTAAGGAACCTGTTGCTAAAATTCACCTCTGGGAACAGCTGATTGGGGGTATTCTGGGAGGCTGATCCACCCACCAATCAGCTTTTTTCTTATTTTCCTCCCCAAAAACTAAGGTGGGTCTTATACTCTGGTGCGTCTTATACTCTGAAAAATACGGTAATAATGATTTCTAGAAAGATAGGGCTGCCTGTGCTTTAAAAATTATTTGGAGGAAGTGCTTTGAAACATGTACAGGTGTAAGTACAGCATGTCTTTAAAGCAGCTACATCTATTCAGAGGTTTTGTCCAAAGGAGGACATGGCTGCTTTAAGAAATCATATTAAAAATACAGACATTCTTTTTTGAACCATTTTTGAAACCCATGCAATTCTAATGTAAGATCCCTGCTTCTATCCTCCTGTAACATCAGTGGCATGCAGCTTTTAGAAATGAAAACCCAATATCTCAGGCTAATAATGTTATATCTTCCATAAAGCTCAAAGCAATTCATAATATATCCCAAAATATCTAGTTCACAAGGATATGATTTTACCTTGCTTGTGTCAGAGAGTCAAGAGACCATAGCTTAACCTAGTTGTAATATTTTTTTTTTATTTGATTCTGCTTGGCTCTTGTAGAGCCTGTCAACCATCCCAACCTGGTCAATTAAAAAAGAAAGACTCTTGAATCCATTATTAGCAAAAGTACACTTTACTAAAGCCAAGTAGTTTCAGACAGGCAAAGCCAGATTTCCCCCAATCCCACCCTGCAATTTCTCTTTACCCCATTGCATATGACAGACTTTATTTGTTTGTTTGTTTGTTTGTTTCGTCAAGCATGTATTAGATAACAGATATAAGTATAAACATAATTATGAGTACATGAAATGAATATGAATAAAAGGGGACGGTAGGCACATTGGTGCGCTTATGCACTCCCCTTACAGACCTCTTAGGAATGGAGTGAGGTCAACAGTAGACAGTCTAAAGTTTTGGGGGTTTGGGGAAGAAACCACAGAGTCAGGTAGTACTGTATATTCTAGGCATTGACCACTTTGTTGCTGAAGTCGTATTTTCTGCAATCGAGTTTGGAGCGTTTTACCTTAAGTTTGCATTAAGTTTAAGTTTGTATTAAGTTTAAGTTTGCATTAAATTTGTATTAAGTTTGTACCCTGTTTCCCCCAAAATAAGACATCCCCTGATAATAAGGCCAATTGGGCTTTTGAGTGAATGGCAATAAGACCAAGCGCTTATTTCAGGGTTCAAAAAAATATCAGGCAGAGTCTTATTTTCCGGGAAACATGGTATCTATTGTTGACTAGCAGCATGCAAAGCATGGTGTAGCAGGGTAGCAATCCTGAAAGAGCCACACTTGCTATCTTAAAAATTAAGAGTGGTAGGTGGCTATTGCCCACCTGTCTAGAAAAATGAAAAGGTAAGCTAAAATCGTAGAAGGTATCTGAGGAGCTGAGACCAAATGAGAGTGACCAGCCTGGCAAGTTAGATTTTTGTAGATGGTAATGTTTCAATGGCCCATGATGAGTCATAGTGGCGCAGTGGTTAGAGTGCAGTACTGTAGACTACTTCTGCTGACTGCCGGCTGATTGCAGTTTGGCAATTCAAATCTCACCAGGCTCAAGGTTGACTCAGCCTTCCATCCTTCCGAGGTGGGTAAAATGAGGACCCAGATTGCTGGGGGCAATAGGCTGACTCTGTAAACCGCTTAGAGAGGGCTGTAAAAGCACTGTAAAGCGGTATATAAGTCTAAGTGCTAAGTGCTATTGCTGTGATGGCCATAGTAGCTATTTTGTGAAGGAGCATCTTCCCCTTCCCCCTTCAGCCTTTTATGATTCCATACACAGTCCCAAATTCCAGATAAGCCCCACCAATCCATAAAAGTTTTCTCTGAAATAGATTCATGCACACCAAAAGGAATTGAGAGGTATCTCATGCACATTTTACATTCAAAGTGTGTTTTTTTTTTTTTGGAAGAGCTTTCTTTTAGAAAGGGGAAAAAAATACATAAAAGAGTTGAGCCATTTCCAGGGACACACAGTGAACCATTTCAAAGATGAGGATTAAGGCACAGGAGGAGGTAGGGACTTTTGTGCTGCCTCATTTTGAAAACATACTGGACGATGATGTTTTAACAATATGCCCCCGCTGAGATCAATGGCATGAGGTCTAGACTTTTAGTGGGAAATGCTGTTAACGGAGACAGATGGAGGATGGAAGCAATGGAAACATATTTTAGAGAGAAATAGTTATGCGCTGAGACCAAATTTAAAAAAGAAAGCAAGCAAGCAAAGCACTCCCTCTCCATCTTTTTTATGAATGTGTGAGTACAGCAGAGACGTTCTTAAAAAGCAGATTTCATGGTTGCTTCTCAATTAGAATAGAATAGAATAGAATTTTTTATTGGCCAAGTGTGATTGGACCTACAAGGAATTTGTCTTGGTGCAAAAAAGATGTTGAGACTCAAGAAAGAATGCAGACAAGAGCAACAAAGATGATTAGGGGACTGGAGGCTAAAACATATGAAGACCGGTTGCAGGAACTGGGTATGTCTAGTTTAATGAAGAGAAGGACTAGGGGAGACATGATAGCAGTGTTCCAATATCTCAGGGGTTGCCACAAAGAAGAGGGAGTCAAGCTATTCTCCAAAGCACCTGAAGGCAGGACAAGAAGCAACGGATGGAAACTAATCAAGGAGAGAAGCAACCTAGAACTAAGGAGAAATTTCCTGACAGTGAGAACAATTAATAAATGGAACAACTTGCCTGTAGAAGTTGTGAATGCTCCAACACTGGAAGTTTTTAAGAAGATGTTGGATAATCATTTGTCTGAAGTGGTGTAGGGTTTTGGACTAGAAGGGGGTTGGACTAGAAGACCTCCAAGGTCCCTTCCAACTCTGTTATTCTATTCATATGCTCTCAGTGTACATAAAAGAAAAGATACATAGGATACATAGATAGGGTACAAATTAGCAATCAGGAAACAATATCAATATAAATCGTAAATTTACAATTTAGACTGATTGTATCGGTAGTCTTCACGAATGACAAAATCTGCATGTCCGTTGCTTTTGGATAGCTCCATTTAGTTTATGGAGGTATCAGTTATGGCAAGTTTTTAATTTGCTTAAATGTTTGTTTGTTTTTTGGTATTTGGAAGTGAATATGTGCATCAAATAGGAAATGGACATTCAGAGAGATTTAACCCTTTGTAAAGAGGCAGGCAAACAAAAAGCATCCGTAGTTTATGGGTAATTTATGAATGAAAATGATTAAATGATATAAATGCACAAACTCATGTGCAATCTCTAGTGCTGCACAGCATGATCCCAATTATATGATTAGCAGCTGTTAGAACTACTCTTGTACTCTGCCACAATCCTGATTACACCACACTCTCAGCAGCCCCAGTCAAGACAAGCAAATTACTCAGGTCAGTTATACCTTAACCAGGTGATCCTGTAAATACCTACAAGCCAGTTCAAATAGTGTTGAAAATTTCACACTTTAAAATTTGCATGTCTTAAAAAAAATAGTAGTATGAGTTCTACACTAAAGCCTACCCAATACCAGTGCAGCATCTACAATATTGTTACCGTAGAGATATATGGATTCTGAAATATTGAAATTAACAATTCTGCATCCCTAATTTTCATGACAGAGTTTTCCCTTATAATGTTTGGTTGTCGCATTGTTTTTAATAGTCCTGTGGATAGGAATGGGTTAGGAAGTCAAGCATATACTCAACTAATCATTTGTAAGGGTTAAACCATTTGGATACAGTTTCCTCTGTCTTAGGGGCCCAAGGCAATTGAGTCTACATGTCAAGCTTACACCCTATGTATATAATAAAAAGAAATATCAATTCTTTTATTTCAACTTTACTGCTGTTTTTAAGTATTTTGTTCACAGCCTTTCCAGGAATTCTGACAATCTCCTTCCTTCCTTCCTTCCTTCCTTCCTTCCTTCCTTCCTTCCTTCCTTCCTTCCTTCCTTCCTCCCTCCCTCCCTCCCTCCCTCCCTCCCTCTCTTCCTTCCTGTGTCTATACTCTTTACAGTTGTGTTTCTCCTGAATTGTGTTCACATCTTAACTAAATTAATGAAAAGGGTTAATGTGCTCCAGAAAGAGCCAAATGTTTTGTGGATTAGTTCAAAACGGATTTATATAAGCACACACTTGAATTGATTTCACTTGGGCAGCAGTTGTATATTTTATTCTATGAAAAAAAAAAAAGCTGGAGGGAAAAAAAGTAAGCGGAAAAGGAAGAATTTCCATTACAGAGCCTACATACAAGAAGTTCGAGCGATTTTATTTTGAAAAAAAGTATAAGACCACCCAAGTCCATAATGAGTCAGGGAAGAGCTTTGCCTTATAGCCTGCCAAATTAGCATTTCTCTACTTTTTAATTAAACCTACCAAAAACAAAGTGCGATGGGGCAAAACACTTGAGTGCCAGGAGACATTTTAATGGGTGAATTGCTGCCTGAATCTGACTTAGAATCTCTGGAATGGCCATGTTCCCTCTTATTTCCTCTGCTAATTTTTGCATATCTTGATGGAGTCAATAAAATAAATACTCCTCAAGGAATTAACAATATCGCTTATTTACTGATAAGCACCATTTCGCCTAGGTGTTTATCAGATGTCAATATCGGAAGCCGCCGTTCCTGGCGAGGAAGCTGGAAGAGTCAAAGCCAAAGATCCGGACATTGGAGAAAACGGTTTAGTAACTTACAACATCATTGATGGCGACGGTATAGAAATGTTTGAAATCACAACGGATTCCGAGACTCAGGAAGGGGTTGTGAAGCTTAAGAAGGTAAGAAAGGCATTCCTTTCATACCTCAATGGATAATATATACTTCATTTTCTTTCCATGCCTCACGGATAGATTATCACTCATGGTTTAAAAAAACAAAGAAAAAAGAAAGAAAGAGCAAAAGTAGTTTGGGATAATTTGTTTATGAAGCTATGATTAACTTCCAGCATCCCATTTTACTCTTATCTTTTAAGGCTTGGAGCCAGAATGAAAGGAAAGAGATTATAAAAAATAAAGCACTTGGTGCGTAGAAGCTCCTTAACATCATTTTAAAGTGAAGAAAAGTACATTATTCTTTTAGTGATCCTCCTCTTGAGAAATCAACACTGTTCCCTCTTCAAAGCATACTGCATATTAACTTGGAAATAAATGAAGGGGATTGCCTTCGCTATAATGAAGCATTTATTTTCAAGTTGGCAAGACAGTGTGAATTTTCAGATAATGTGACAATTACAAGGGATTTCTTTTGTGTCTGCATGCTTTTTTCCTGAGGAAATCTTAATTTGGGCTGTCAGGATTCCTTCTGAATGCAGTCTCTGATTGATTGATTGAAAGAAAGAAAGAAAAGAAGTGGAAAAAAAGGGGAAAATAAAGCAAGCATGGGTTGGTCACTGCTGGTGTTTCCTTCACGCAGGTCAACAAAAGCCCCTTTTTGGTTTCAGCCCTCTATTCTGAAATATTTTTCTTTCTTTTGCACCAGCCAAAGTCATCAAGCTAAACACTGTATGCAAAATTGCTATGGAAGCAGCTGTGCTCAGCTTCTTTAAAAACCAGGGACTGCCAACATTTCAGAATTGATTCATGTTTAACAATAGAATAGAAAAGAATATTTGCAGCTCAGGGTTGAACGGTGGAGTCCTTGGTGCTCTCTGAGCTTTGTTATTTTCTTGCAGATGTTTCATTATCCAACTAAGTAACTTCAGCAATCAGTGATGTTACCTAACTGGGTAATGAAATGTTTGCAAGAAAACAACCAAGCTCAGAGAGCATCAAGAACTCCACTAATCAGTGTTTCTATATTTGGGGGGGGGGTGTTGTTCTATAGCAGGGGTGTCAAACTATGGCCCACAGCCCAGATGCGTCACGTGCTGGCCATGCCCACCGTTTTAGCGAAGGGGAAAAAAGTTGCGACAATGTGACACCACGAGTTTGACACACACACACACACACACACACACACACACACACGTTCTATAGTATTCAATTAGACAGGGGTGAAATCCAGCAGGTTCTGACAGGTTCTGGAGAACCGGTAGCGGAAAGTTGAGTAGTTCAGAGAACCAGCAAGTACCAAATCTAGCTGGCCCCAGAGTGGGGTGGGAATGGAGATTTTGCAGTATCCTTCCCCTGCCACACCCACCAAGCCACACTACGCCCATTAAGTCATACCCACAGAACCGGTAGTAAAAAAAATGGATTTCATCACTGCAATTAGGGCTTTATAGCAATCTAACCATAGCAGAGAGGGTGCCATTTAAGTTCCTAAAATCAATTATGCAATTCCTAGAGGTATCTCCAAAACTATTTTGAGATTACGAATAGGAACCATGTTGCCCAGGATGTGTAGTAGAACCTGAATCTTAATTAGATTGTGTTATAGATTTTATCTTGGGTCCTGTATTACTTCTTTTTATTGTTTTTCTGTTATCTTTTTAATCTTTTTTTTCACCCCTCTGCTAACTATCCAGAGTCATGTTTTTGAGTCTGGGGTATTTTCATTAGTTTGATTTGAAAGTGGGTTAAAGACATAAAATTAGTAAAGGTAAAGGTTCCCCTCGCACATATGTGCTAGTCGTTCCCAACTCTAGGGGGCGGTGCTCATCTCCGTTTCAAATCTGAAGAGCCAGCGCTGTCCGAAGATGTCTCTGTGGTCATGTGGACGGCATGACTCAACGCCAAAGGCATACAGAGTGCTGTTACTTTCCCACCGAAGGTGGCCCCTATTTTTCTACTTGCATTTTTTACGTGCTTTCAAACTGCTAGGTTGGCAGAAGCTGGAACAAGTAACAGGAGCTCACCCCATTACGCGGCACTAGGGATTCGAACCGCTGAAGCTCGACAAGCTCAGCGGTTTGATCGACAAGATCAGCGTCTTAGCCACTGAGCCACCGCGTCCCCTTACATAAAATGAAAGAGAGACAATTTGATGTAGTGTTTAATGCAGTGGCCTAGAAACCAGGAGACTGAATTCTAGTCCCACTTTAGGCGTGGGAAAAAAAACTGGCTTTGAGCCAGTTACTCTTCCTCAGCCCAACTCACTTCACAGGGTAATTGGTTGTGGGGAAAATAGGAGAAGAAAGGTGCCTTGTGTTGTACATGAAAAAGGTGGCATATTTTTTTTAAAGGTAGCATTTTGGAAGTCTGTTATAGCTGTCCATTCTGTTGCTAGCATATGTCCCATCCATAATTCTCAAGATGTATTTAGGTGGTTGGGTGCTTTGTCATTATTAAATTTATACGCTAACAAATCTATTTAGACTTGGGCAGGTCAGAATAACTCGCAATAATTGTGCATGTTAGATACAAGCAAGATGTGAAATACTCCATTTTATATCTAGAAGTATATTTTAATTAGAATGGAGCCCAGACAGGAACAACTATATATCAGAATCCAGACACCAGTATAGAATAGAGTTCCCTGTTTTGCTATAAGAGCAATACTATCAGTAATAACTCTAGCACTTGGGAGCTTTTAGACCACACATTATTAAACATGGGCATCCAGTTTATAACTCCCCTCATGGTACTTGTGCCTTGAATAATATCAAAAATTAGGAAATGTTACCAAGGTTTAGTTAACAGTAGTGTCCATACAGATTTTTACCTATAATCTTAAGACTTTATTTAGTCTTAAAATTACAGGCTGGATCTTGGAGATGCGAAAATGGTCGTATTATAGACGTCCCTTAAGTTCATTTTATTCAATTATACATTTTTGAATATTAGTCAGTGAAGGAATCATTTCAGTTCCAGTTTACCTATAAACATGCCTGGTTCTAAAGCAGGGGTGAAATCTACTTACCTTCCTTACCGGTTCGGAAGTGTGTGCATATCATGTATGCGCGCACACCTGTGCATGTGCAAACCTTCTGTGCATGTGCAGAAGATTAAAAAACATTACTTCCGGGCGGCGATTGCTACTGGATCGCCGAACCACAGGGAAAAATTGCTACCAGATCGGGTGATCCAGTCTGATCCGGGAGCATTTCACCCCTGTTCTAAAGGTGTTGTGATCTGACCTACCATATGGCCTCAAACAAAGATGACCCTAAATTTATTTCTCATTCTCATGCCCAAAAGCGAAGTAGGGAAGATACTATATTCTCCAAAGAATATAAAATGATCTTCATATTTTAAAACAATATCTTAAATAAATATAGGCATATAGGAATTATGTGTGCATGGGAGGTTAGGTACAAAAGTGAAATGGATATATTTTCAGCCTCTGGCAATATCTGGCTAACTTTATCTAGGCTGGAAATTATGCAGGATAGGTTCTGGTTAGTACTTTGCAGGAGATTATTGGGTGGAGACCAAACTGGAAAATGAAAAATTATCCTGAGCGAAAGCAATGGCATGTTATCTACATAATGCTGACCAAAAAAAAACCCTCATGGATGAATTCATGAAAGCAGTAAGGATGGAAATGAACTCTTAAGCAGGTTTATTTTTTTCTTCCTGTTGTTTGTAAAAACATCCTTGGAATGATAACTTTGTGTTTCCTCCATTTTTCTTAACCCCAGCAAGTTGACTATGAAACCAAAAGAACCTACAGCTTGAAGGTAGAGGCAGCCAACACATATATTGACCCCAAGTTCATCAGCAATGGACCATTCAAGGATACTGTGACTGTGAAGATTAGCGTTGAGGATGCTGATGAGCCCCCCATGTTTTTAGCACCGTTTTACATCCTTGAAGTGGAAGAGAACGCAGGACCGGGTGCTCCAGTTGGACGGGTACATGCCAAAGACCCTGATGCTAAAAACAGCCCTATAAGGTATGCTTGAAACAGGCAACAATGGCTTAAAATAGAAAAGGCTGAAATCCTATCAATAATAACTTAATCACCTAAAAAAGGTAAAGGTTCCCCTTCCACATATGTGCTAGTCATTCCCGACTCTAGGGGGCGGTCTTCATCTCCGTTTCTAAGCCGGAGAGCCAGCGCTGTCCAAAGACGTCTCTGAGGTCATGTGGCCGGCGTGACTCAACACCAAAGGCACACAGAACTCTGTTACCTTCCCACCAAAGGTGGTCCCTATTTTTCTACTTGCATTTTTTACAAACTGCTTTCGAACTGCTAGGTTGGCAGAAGCTGGGACAAGTAACGGGAGCTACCCCATTATGCGGCACTAGGGATTTGAACCACTGAACTGCCGACTTTTCGATCAACAAGCTCAGTGTCTTAGCCACTGAGCCACCGCGTCCCTAACTTAATCACTTGCAATGTAATAATAATGTGGATGTACTATAGGGAGAAGCAATTCTACTTTTTCCTCTTTAGTTACCAGGAATAGTAATTTCCAGGCATAGTTAATAGGATGAAACTTAGGAAGAAAAAGTCTGATGATCCTGCACATGTTGTGCAGATGTTGTACAGATACATAGAAATAGCAGTAAATAGGGTGTGTATGAACTCACATATTTGGGGATATACACAATTTTTATAGTCATTTATTTACATACACAATTAAATATTTTAGTCCTAGTGTATGCTCAGTGCCATCATTGGAACAGTGTTCATAGGCATTACAGAGGCAACCAACTCAAAATATGTATTTTTCAAGATATATATCAATCATAAGATCTCAGGTGCATAAGAATGGAGTGCATAAGAAGTGAAGTCCATTTCTCCATTTCCAAAACCCCTCTAACTCCACAATCAGACAGTGCATTTGCAGCCAATGAGCTAGTACCATTGCAATAAACTGGTCTGCTTCTAGAAATACATAATTATTAAATCAGTTTTAATATTAGCAATGTTAAAGTGATACCAACTATTTTAAAATGACATTTTGAAAAATATTAAAATAGATTCTGAATAAAACCTTTTGAAAGAGATATATAATAAGGCAGCTGACAATTAAGTCACACAGAAGGGTAGGGAAATTGTGACATTGGATTATAACTCACAGCAGCTCCAGCATAGTCAGTGTGAACAATGCTAGAACTGCAGTTCAAAAATATTTGAAGAAGCACATCGTGGATGAACAGAATAACTGGGGAAAACAAGACCTTTGGATCAGGTTCTTTCCCAAACACTACAACATGAATGATACCTCCCAGGGACGTTGTCACATCATGGATTCTCTTGCTTCCATTTGGGACAAATAATTATAGAATATGTGACATGAAAACACACAACCTAGTGGCACCAATGTGTGAGGCATGTAGAGAGAACACTACATAAGATACTACTTCTTTTGGCAAATGGAACCCTACACAGTTGAGAGATCAGGGTTTTACATTGTGGCTTTGCCATTCTATATCCACATATTAGAAGAACTGCTGAAGAAAGCTACTTGTTCCACACAGTTCCTGCTGTGACTTACAACTTGGTATCATGCAGAGTTCTAACATGAACAGAAGGGAGTCACATATTTATTCTGAATAAAGACCTTTGCTCATCTGGGATCCAAATAAAATTTCTATGTCCACTGAATAGTTGAATAAAAAGATAAAAGTTCCCCTCGTATATATCTGCTAGTCATTTCCGACTCTAGGGGGCAGTACTCATCTCCATTTCAAAGCTGAAGAGCCAGCGCTGTCCGAAGATGTCTCCGTGGTCATGTGGCCGGCATGATTAAATGCCAAAGGTGCACGGAATACTGTTTCCTTCCCACCAAAGGTGGTGCCTATTTTTCTACTTGCATTTTTTACATGCTTTCGAACTGCTAGTTTGACAGAAGCTGGGACAAGTAACGGGAGCTCACCCCGTTACGCGGCACTAGGGATTCGAACCGCTGAACTGCAGACCTTTTGATCGACAAACTCAGCGTCTTAGCCACTGAGTCACCATGTCCCTTGAATAGTTGAATAGCCTTACCTCAATAAATATTTCCTACTACCAAAACCAATGAGAAACAAGATACACATTGCACTTTACTCATGGGTTGTTACTCTATGCTACTAAGAAATAGCAAGCCGTTTCCATTTAGAAGCGATCTAGTCATTCTAATTAATATTTTCATCTTGCTAAGCATGTTCCCACCAAGCTAATCTGGGCTACACTGTTTGGGAGACATGAAATGAACTGAGGACAATGAACAATTCTCTTCTAATGACTTCATTTGCATCTCCTTTTAGATATTCAATTGATCGTCACACTGACCTCGACAGATACTTCAGCATCAGTCCAGAAGATGGCTCAATTACAACCACAAAAAAACTGGACAGGGAAGAAATAGCCTGGCATAATATTTCCGTGTTAGCATCAGAAGTTCGTAAGTGTTAAAAAAAAAACCTCTTGACATGTTCTAGTATGTGCTACAACTCCCCACTTTTGAAGAAATGAAAGGTGCTGGGATCTCAATAATTTTGGGACTGATATTTCACCTATGATCACTTTCATTTTGGATGACATTTCACATTGGACCTGAGATGATGCCCTTGGTTGGGATGTAACTTGAACTAAAAAGATAGAATGCTGCTAAGCCTGTCTACCTATATGAATACATATACCCTCTTTCATCGAAAATAAGACCCAACCAGAAAATAAGCCCTAGCATGATTTTTCAGGATGCTCGTAATATAAGCTCTACACAAAAAATAAGCCCCCGTTAAGATTGTCAACAGACGGAGGCGTTTAGTACTGTATTTCCCCCAAAGGGTGAACTGATCGTGATAAAAACTACCAGTTCGGGTGAATCGGAAGTAAAAAAAAAAAATGCTTTAAAAAGATCGCACAGCAAAGTTGTGATTGTTGGAACCTTTTTTAAAAAAAATTTTTAAAAGTATTTTTTTACTACTGGTTCAGGCAAATAGGTAGTAAAAAATGCTTTAAAAAGTAAAAAAAAAAAAGTTGGCCATGCCCACCCAGTCACATGACCCACCACCACCAAGCCACGCCCACAGAACTGGTAGCAAATTTTTTTGCATTTCACCACTGGGTGTAGGTATCTGATGAATAAGTTTATTGTAAGAACTATTTGTATGTAAGGCATTAAGAAAGAACTCAGGCAGTTTTCCATCATAAAAAGGACATTTGATTCATACCTGAAGTCCATGCTTAATTTTTGTGCCTTTTGCTTCTGGCCACAAATTACAATGGGATTAAGTCTTCCTATTTTTGAGTGGGAGAAAGAGCTTCTACCATCCCTTGTTATGGTCATAGACTAGACTGATTTCATGCTGCTTGTTTCTGACCTTGCCAAACTAGAAACCATGCCAATCTTAAAATATTAATGAGCAGAGTTTTTAAAAAATTATCCAACTTATATGATTTATTGATGACAGGGTCTGATGATAAGAACTCATTAATTCTGATAGCATTTTACTAATCTTCTACTAATCCTGAAAAAAGGAAAAAATTGCTGATTGTGTTTATATTATATAGATGTACTAGATATTCCATTTGTTGGGCAGTTGACCCTAATAGTGCATGAATTTTCCTCTCCTCTCCTTCCCTCCCCCTCCCTTCCTCTCCCCCTCCCCTCTCTCCCCTCCGCTCCTCTCTCCCCTCTCCCCTCCCTTCTCCCCTCCCCACTCCTCTCTCCCCTCCCCATCTCTCTTTCTCTCCCCCTCCCCTCTCTCTTCTCCTCTCCTCTCTCCCCTCCCTTCTCCCCTCCCCACTCCTCTCTCCTGCCCTTCCTTCACCTCTCTCCCCTCCCCTCTCCTCCCCTCCCCTCCCCTCTCCTCCCAAGGGAGGCATTCATTCTGTTCTTTTCCTATACAACCATGGGGGCAAAAACCCAAGCATCCACCTACTTTCTAGGGAGCCTTTCTGGGAGTTTTTCCTCTGCCTCTGAGAAGAGAGAAGAGAGTCTAATCATTACTATCAGCTCAAATCATTGAGACAATATGGTTAACTAGTAAAAATTTCTTAGTCCCAAACAGACCCAGGGTTTTTTTGTTTTTTTTTTAAATCTGTGTATGCCATGCTAACCCACATATACTTAAGGGTGTCATGTGAACAAAATAATTGACAATCTGGGTATCTGAGTTATTGCTCCCAGAGGACTGCAAAAGAAAGTTGAATAGGTCAAAGGCTGACTAAGTCCCTATGTGAGACACTCGAGGTACCGTGTTTCCCCGAAAATAAGACCCTGTCTTATATTTTTTTGAACCCTGAAATAAGCACTTGGCCTTATTGCCATGCAATTGGGCTTATTATCAGGGGATGTCTTATTTTGGGGAAAACAGGGTAGGGGAAAAAAAAAAAACCCAGACAACTTTGTGTTTTGTGCTATTATGTTTTCTTTCTCAATAACTATTGCAGATAACCGGCATCAGGAAGCCAAAGTTCCGGTAGCGATTAAAGTTCTTGACCTAAACGACAATATCCCCAAGTTTAAAGAGCCCTATGAAGCTTTTCTATGTGAAAAACCCCAGACAAATAAGGTAAGCATTGTCCGCTTTCTCTTTTCTTCTTCAAGACTGACCATTTTGGTTTCTCCAGATAGACCCTACAAAAGAAATGGAGAAGCAGGAAAAACAGGCCAGGATTTCTGTTGGGTTTAAAAGAAATAAATATAACAAACAACTCTACTAAACCTGTCTGACTGGTTAGTAGTGGCAGTGGGAAGGCTATTGTTACCACAGGTAGTCCTCGACTAAAGTTCATTTAGTGACCATTGGAAGTTACAGTGGCACAGAAACAAGTGACTTTCGACTGTTGCAACATCCCCGTGGCCACCTTCAGGTGCTTGGCAACTGTCTCATATTTATGACGGTTGTAGTGTCTCAGGCTCATATGATTCACCTTTTGCAAGCCTTTCATGAGTAAAGTCAACGGGAAGTCTTATTCACTTAACAACTGTGCTATTAACACAGTGTAATTCGCTTAACAACTGTGGCAAGACAGGTCATTAAATGGGGCAAAATTCACTTAACAAATGTAAAGAGGTAAAGGTAAAGGTTCCCCTCGCACATATGTGCTAGTCGTTCCCAACTCTAGGGGGCGATGCTTATCTCTGTTTCAAAGCTGAAGAGCCAGCACTGTCCAAAGACGTCTCCGTGGTCATGTGGCCGGCATGACTTAAACGCCAAAGGCGCACGGAACACTGTTCCCTTCCCACCAAAGGTGTTCCCTATTTTTCTACTTGCATTTTTTACGTGCTTTAGAACTGCTAGGTTGGCAGAAGCTGGGACAAATAACGGGAGCTCATCCCTTTATGCGGCACTAGGGATTCGAACCACTGAACTGCTGACCTTTCGATCGACAAGCTCAGTGTCTTAGCCACTGAGCCACCACATCCAAAGTAACAAATGTGTCACTTAGCAAAAGAAATGTTGGGCTCAGTTATGGTCGTAAAATGAGGACTACTTGTATTGAACTTCCCTTAAACACTGCCTTCTTATCCTAAAACACAAGTGATTTAAAAGGTACTTTTAAAAGTTTATTTTACATGGTTGAAAGCTTATTCTACAAAGCAGATCCCAACATGGAAAGTCTAAAAGTTGAGGCAGGGAAGGAAGAGAGATTTCAAATGCACTGCATACTGATAAGTGTCCTCCTTTTCCAGCCACTAATTACAATTTTCGCAGAGGATAAAGATGATTCAGCCAATGGCCCGAGATTCATCTTCCATTTGCCACCTGAAATGATGCAGAAGCCCAATTTTACTCTCCGAGATAACCGAGGTTTGTATTTATATTCATTATATAGGATGGGAGGAAACTAATTATCCTCGCAGTAGTTGTTTTTTTTTTTTCCTCCTCATTAACCATGACTGATTTTCTGCAGCAATGTCTGGGAAGAGAGCTTCACAATGGAGGGGGGGGGAGAGAGAGAGAGAGCTTCACAAAAATGTATAGAATGCATAAAATGCAACTAAAAAAAACCATAACAATTGCTCTGGGTGTTTCTTTCACTAGCAGAATTCTTCTTGATTATTTCAACTGGGAGTTGAAGACCACATATCTTGAACTTGCCAAAGTTGAGAAACACTAATAAAGGAGAATATTTGTAGCTTGGGTCAAAATGAGGGGTCCTCGTGCTGGTGTTGTTATCTATCACTGATGATATTATCTAGTACGGGTAATGAAACAACTGTAAGAAAACAATCTGAGCCAAGGAGCACCAAGGACCCCTTGTTGAGAAATACTGCTCTAAATGAGAGGGCAAAACTCAGCCAGGCTTTCAGAATTCTCTTACTATATATCCTTGTTGTTGTTAGTTGCGAAGTGGTGTCCGACCCATCGCGACCCCATGGACAACGTTCCTCCAGGCCTTCCTGTCCTCTACCATCCCCCACGCCTACTGCTTCATTGACTCCATCCAGCCACCTCATTCTTTGTCGTCCCCTTCTTCATTTGCCCTCAATCTTTCCCACCATTAGGCTCTTCTCCAGGGAGTCCTTCCTTCTCATTAGGTGGCCAAAGTATTTGAGTTTCATCTTCAGGATTTGGCCTTCTAAAGAGCAGTCAGGGTTGATCTCCTCTAGGACTGACCGGTTTGATCACCTTGCAGTCCAAGGGACTCGCAGGAGTCTTCTCCAGCACCATAGTTCAAAGGCCTCAATTATTTGGCGCTCAGCCTTTCTTATGGTCCAACTTTCACAGCCATCCATTGCAACTGGGAAAACCATCGCCTTGATTATACACACTTCTGTTGGCAGGGTGATGTCTCTGCTTTTTAGTAAGCTATCTATATTTGCCATAGCTTTCCTCCCCTGGAGCAAGCGTCTCAATTACTTGGCTGCGGTGATCTTGGATCCTACAGTACATCAAACAACTACACTTCCAATCTGTTATGTAATTTTTTTTATTTACTTATGTATTATTTATTTTATTTGTCAAGAACGTGTTTGGTAATAAGTATAAGCATAGATTGAATACATAAAATAGATACAAATGGAAGAAACATTAGGACAGGGACGGTAGGCACGCTGGTGCTCTTATGCACGTCCCTTACAGACATCTTAGGAATGGGGTGAGGTCAACAGTAGACAGTCTTAGGTTAAACTTGTGCTTCCTCGAACAGAAATGTTTGTCACACCTCTTTTCCCTTTGCCTTATTCACCATCAAATAAAAGATACCAACAAATCAAAAGATTCTGCTCCCTGAATTTTATAGCTGAGGAAGATTGGAGATGGCAAGTTATTGGATGTTTCAAATGGTAGCGGTTTTTTAAAAGAAGCAGAATGGTTTTCACATCTACTCCCTTTTTCATGTAGACTTCATGTAGTTATCCGGAAGATTGATAGTGACAAAACCCCAGAGCAATTATTATGGTATTTAGTCAGTGGTGGGATTCAGCCAGTTCGCACCACTTCGGGAGAACCGGTTGTTAACTTTCTGAGCAGTTTGGCAAACTGGTTGCTGGAAGAAATCATTAGGGCAGAGAACCGGTTATTAAATTACTTGAATCCCACCACTGTTTTATGCATTTTTTCCAAAGCTCTCTGAGCTGTTTTGCACTGTTGCCCAGGGGATGGATGGATGGATGGATGGATGGATGGATGGATGGATGATGAGATAGATAGATAGATAGATAGATAGATAGATAGATAGATAGATAGACAGATAGGTAGGTAGGTAGATAGATGATAGACAGATAGACAGACAGATAGATGACTGACTCACTTTACTGCAAATGCACTTTAGGAGTTTTATTTTTTTTAAAAAAAGAACAACTATTGGCTACAGCTTTGCTAGGGTGCTAAAATAATCCATCACAAACTAGAAATAGAACTCTCCCCCCCTTCCCAATTCATCTTAAATCATTTGTTCTCCTTCATAAATGGAAACTCATTTGAAACGGAGGAATATTTCATCACAGTACTCTACAATTCATATAATCCTCTGCATGCCAAGTCAAAATAAGTTCCACTTGATTCAGTGTGGCTTTCTCCCAAATTTGTAGTTATAGCGTTGCAGCTGAGGAACTGTTGGTCCCCAAAAATTGAAGGGCTAAAAGAGAAAAGTAATACTTTTTTTAAAAAAAAAAATTAAGCCAGAGCTCAATGATGTACTACTTGGCTGTTTTTCAAATGCATTTTGAACCAGCTGGTTTCCAAATACTATTTTTTCAAAGCGCCCCCCCCCTTAAAGATCATGGATAGTGATAAACCTCACCCTCAATCCCACAGCATTCCTAGAGGCCCTGCGGATTAAAAAATGCATTCCAGAGCCTCTCCAATCCATTACTGAAACAATGGTTCTATTTGAGCCAAAATTATTCTATTTAAAGTTATTACTACTCGCCATTTGGGGATGTCAAAAATGTTCTTGATTCTCTTTCTTGTTCATATTTGATTGATAGCGTATACACCCTGTTGACACCAGATGCAAGATAGGCACTCAGTCTGAAAGTATAGCAGTGAACAATTGCTACATTGATCCAGCAGTATTTATCCTGCAACTTTAGAAGAGTTTGTGGTTTGAAGGCAAAAACTAGAAACACATGGTGAATTATATTTTATGTTTCCATTTGGCTCAAAAGCCTTTTAACATGTTCATCCCACATTAAACATGAAACCTCAGTCTTTTTTACTTGATTTAACGTTTGCAAAAAAAAAAAATCTTTATAGTAAACTTTCATTTTACTTCAAATATTGTTGGGAAGTGTTAGAGAGGCTATCTTTCAAATCAAGTATCTATTATGCAAGTGAAGCAACCTAAATCTAGCACGATCCCAACCTGAGAAACCAAGAGTATAAAAGACAAAGACAATTTTAATGTTAAATTATGATTTGTCTACTATGAAAAATCACAGTATTAGTAGGATAATAGAGATCTGTCTAATCAATGCACCTCTACATTTCCATTTAGCCTCCTTCCAGCCCAAATTTGGCTCCAGGCCTCTAGTAGAATTTCAATGAATGGATTGTGCAACTCTCAATTGTTGTGTTACAATCAGTAAGGTTATGTTAAAGTCCCATTCAGAGATGAGGGTTATAGTCAGTTCAATAAACTTTTCAAACCAAAGGGAATTTCCTAATCAGATGCACAATTCGGACAGAATCCCTGAATTGAATCGGAAGATTTTTTTTTTTAAAAAAAAGTATACAGATAATCTAATCCACCCTCTTCAATACTTTGGATCAAAGCTTCTATTGGTTATCATTTCCAAATTGATTCAAATCATTGTATGAACCAACTGAATCAAATAGATTAGTCCCTAATTTGTCAGAAGCAATCTGGACATTCTTCCTGGTGAGTGTTATGAGAAGATGTTTTACACTGAATCAGATAAATCACCCTCCGACCATTTCACCTTCAGCGAGCAATAGCTTCAGATTAAACAGTTAATTCCATCCCATTTCCCAAGAAACTGCATTATGATTAGATAACGAAAGAACATATTTGAAAGTAAACATGTGTATCAATAATAGAATTATATTAGAAATAAAAAATAGGTGATTAGATAATGAAAGAATATATTTTAATGCACACATGTGTATTAATAGTAGAATTATACTTTATATTATAGAATTATGTATTAATGATTGGTACTAGAAGTGTATATTGAGGCAATGAATAATAAAAGATTGAAGGATGAAATTTTGATATAAATTGATGTGAAGAGTTAACTAAGGGAAGAGGGGGAAAACATGTCTTTGAATATTATAGTGATATTGGAAGGGGAAAAAAACAAAATCAAATAGAGAAAGAAACAAGAGGAGAATAATAGTGTGTGTGTGTGTGTGTGTCTATATCTATATCTATATCAGCAAATTTATATTTGCTGATAAAGAAATAAAGGGAGACTAGTATAGATCTATTTCAAGCTATTTAGCACTCATCAGCTAGCCATACCCTTACACGGATTCAAACTTGGGCTGCCTGCATATTAGGCAGTTGTATTAACCTCTGAGCCACAAGTTCTCCTCCCTTTATCAGCTGAGCCAGGGGAGACACTAAGTGTTTTTTCTGTCAAAGCAGTATGCTCCCTCCCATATTGGGGTAGACCAGGTGCTTCAACAGAAAAAACACTTTTACACTTACACACACACACACACGTGAAGGTATAGGAAAGAAGAAAGGAAGGTTTAGAACTGAAGGGTGATAGTAAAAGATATGTGTATGTAATATGAAACAATGAAAATGAAATATAATAACTAGGAGTAATAATATTATGTTTATTGTACTGAAATGTATGATACCCAAATATCACACTATTCACACATTGATATGTGTAAACAATATAAGATAAAAAACTTGAATTAAAAAAAAAAAGAAACTGCAAATAGTATATATAAGAGAGGGGTAGCTTTGATAAAGCTTAACTTCTGGTTGTCTCAAAGGTTTTTTTTTTCAAAAGGCAGATGATCGATGGATGGATGAATGGATGGATGGATGGATAGATAGATAGATAGATGATAGATGGATGGATAGATAGATAGATGATAGATGGATGGATGGATGGATGGATAGATGGATGGATGGATGGATGGATGGATGGATGGATGGATAGATGATGGATGGATGGATGGATGGATGATGGATAGATAGATAGATAGATAGATAAATAGATAGATAGATAAATTTTTCCTTGAGGAAGAACACATTTCAAGGTTGACTCAGCCTTCCACCCTTCCGAGGTAGGTAAAATGAGGACCTGGATTGTGGGGGCAATAAGCTGACTTTGTATAAAAAAGAACACCGCTTAGGGGGGACCAAAAAGCCCTACTAAAAG